GTCAGCTCGCTCCGCTCTCTCAGGTCTGAAACCTGCCCCATGTCCTGTCCTCTCCCCGTCTCCGCACGATGGCCGAAAGGATCGCTTTCTCCCCGGAGGCTGACATTTATTCCATTTTAGCTCTGCAGCTGTAGCTCTCCGCTGCGCCGGTCGCAGATACCCAGGAGTATAAATAGGGGCTATATTAATAGTTCTGGAATGAGTCCTGCCCCCCTCAACTGCCATGAGCGGGTGTTATTTAACACTGAAACTGCGAGCTCCATCAGAGGTTCCTGAATAACCTTCTGCTACTCCTCTAGCAGCGTTCGGGGCACGGGAAGGCTGCTGCTCTCCCTGCAGCCGCCCTGCGCAGGGGGCTGCCCCAGGAGCGGGCTGTGATCCAGCCAGGCTACAGAAACAGGAGCTCCATCCTGCAGACTCCAAGCCCCCTGAAGAGGGGCACAGCCCAAAGGCAGCACAAGCCTTATGAAAGGATTCAGGCCGGAGGCTATGATAAAAGCTGACTCACTTTGCTGCATTGGATCTGGAGCAGTAATGTATTTCCCTGCTCTGAAAGGCCCTGCTGTACTCTGAGCATCAGTGAGGGCATGTGGCTGGGAAAATTTTTGAGCAGCAGTCCTTGCTACCTTCTTAAATGTTTCCCTGTCTCTGTTTTGATTACATGGGAACCGGTTATTCTTGCATATCTGAATGCTGAAACCAAATACAATTGTAAAAAGGAATAAATTGCTTTGATAATCTTAGTTCTATTCTGAAATGCAGTTTTCAGTATAAAGTGTCAAATCCTCCCTCCTGTTGAATCAAAGCTTTCCCAGGTGGCCGTTTCAGTACACATTGCCCCAGACTTGGTTTCTACCCAGAAGTCTCTTAATTCTAGCTCTAAAAGCCCCCAGGAAAATTTCTGGTGTAGTTTCAGAATAGGAAGAAATAAAAACACAGCAGAAGATGAAACATTCCCCACTTATACCTTACATCAGCATTGCTGGCTCCTCAGGCGCAGACCATCTCTTGCTGCGCTGGTCCCCGTTCAGGGGCAGGATCAGCCCGAGAGCTCTACCGAGGTGCAAGGAGCCAACATCACCCAGGGCCAGCCCAGCCCAGAGCCTTAAAAACGGTCTGAATAGTTCAAGGTGGTCATCAGCTGTGCTGATAGCCCGTAACTTCTTAACTGGGGGTTATAATTGACCCTCACACTTGGTAACAGTAAAATTGCTTAATATAATTTTTTCTTATTTATGTATGTTAACACAATGAGGTGTCACCCAGCGGTGAATCACCACCTGCAGTGCTGGATACTCTAAAGAAGAGCTGACAAAAGTGAGTGTCTGCTCCAGTTTTTGATCTTAGCAAACCCGGTCCTGGGGCAGCCCAGGTTTGCCCAAGTGAAGGACACTGCTGCCCCTTTCCACACCCTTCCTCATGCTGTGGCGGCGGGCTCAGACAGCAGAAATCTCCCAGACCCCTGGAAGAAATCCCATTCTCAGCAGTTTGCTACCTGCACAGTCTGCTGGCACCAGTGCCGCTGGCCAGCAGGACCACAGCTGGGATCGAGGGTGGGCACCAGTCAGGAAGCGCTTCTTCACGCCACCCTCTGCCCAGGTCAAAGGGGCTGTGAAAGCGATGCTGCACGTCCAGCCTCTGCTGCTTGTCCCCACTCCTCCATCCGCACTTGCCTACACAACTGATCTACGATCTGAACCATGGTACTAATATCAGATTTAAAAAAGAACAGCAGAAAACTTGCACCTGACAGGGATTATTTTTAACCTGGAGTCATCAATGTCTGATTTAGAGAGCAGATGTGCTTTGGCATTGACAGACAGAGCAGCCAGGACTGGGGGATTGGATGGGAGCTATTTCAGCTGCTATTGCTGCTGCAAGTCACTTGTGATCCAGCTGTGACTTAAGAGCCAGCTGGAGACAGTCAGAGGTTACAGCAGGATTGCTTATGGTGAGAAGTAGTGGCTACAGCACTGCAGCAGCTCATAGTCTGCATTTTGCAAGCCAGGGATAATTTTATGGAATGATTCTCATGAGAACAGTACAAATTTTGTGGGCATTAAAATAGAATGTGCCTACCTTCAGCTTTGTCACCATCTTGTAACCTCAGTGTCTCTCATGAAAATCCCTCCCATTTTCCTTCTGGTGCTAGACGTAGAAAACCTGCATTCATCTGGGGGGAAAGTTGCACAATTAACATCACAACAACCAGGAAATGCAGTGAGAGAGCCAAGGAGCTCCAGGTGAATGTGCTCTCACCCTGAGGTCCCCCCCTTCCCGACTCTCTGTGATGTTAATCCTCCACCTCTAGCAGTTTTCCAGGCTTTCTTTGCTGCTGTGGTATTGTGGCACCTCAAACAGAGGGGCTGTGTTACAAGGCAAAGCTATTGGCACTGTTGGACTGTCACCCATCCTGTCTGGGGACACTGCTTTGCTGTCCCTGTGCAGTTTCAGCACTCCATCAGTGATGCTCTGTTGCACCTAAACACAGCTGAAATCACACTCATCATTTTTCTTCTTAAGCCCTAGCAGGAGCCCCTCTAGATCCACCCCCACCCCGACACTCCCCATTGTAGCATTTGGCTGCAGCCGTACCAGGCTGGCTACGTGGGAATGAACTCTGAAGTGCCAGCTTTACAAAGGCTTGGGAAAATGATATTTATTGCACAAGTACAAAAAGTATAGAGCTGGAAATGACTTCCTGGGCCCTCCCAACCCGGCATGCAGCAGGAGTTGGGAACTGCTGGAGGACCAGGCTCTGACCGACTGGATGTGCCCCAGTCCCCAGAGGGCTCCCACCCTCCTGCAGCTCCCCAGACAGTGGTCTGTACTGAAGAGGCATCTTGATCTTCCTGGCATGAAAAACGCAGTCATAGCAATTTTACTTTTATACCCAAGTCGCTAAAACATAAAGGCTATCGGTGATCCCTAGGCTGATCATAGGGAAATGCCATGGACCGTTCTCCTGCAGTTCAGTTCTGCTGGGAGCACCATAAGCTCCCTCTTTAGCCAATTTTTTTCTTACGTGTGTACTCACCACGCCTTGCGCAGCAGGCTGGATCCTTTTCTGTGTGGTACGGCCCGATGCTTTGCCAAGTCCATGAAAAGTCACTGAATGGCCGCAGTTTTGTTCGGTTTTGGGTTTACTCACGTAAGACAACAGGTCTTACACACAGCACTACCATTTTAACCTGGCAAGGCCTATCTCGAACGCGCACGGCATCTTTCTAATTTACGTCCTAATTTTCTGTGATCCACGCCTTGTGTAACCACTTACACAAATGTAAGCGGGTGCGAAGCCGGTATGGAGAACTCCTGCAGAGCGGGCGTGAGTTCTGCTCCTCCCGCAGGTTTGTCCACACCAGCTGCAGAACAAAGCTTCTCTGCGACAGCCGGCGTGCTCCCCTGCTAAGGAACAGTCTCGCTTTCTCCAGCTTCCATCACGGGAGCCTGATCCCCACCCCTCCCTCCCTCCTCCTCCCACTGCCATCAAAGGGGATACTCCATGTTCTGAGGTGGGCATGTTTGCAAATGACTAGAAGAACAGAAATATGTTGGTGCTTGCCTTGCGTTCTCTGCCTTCTATGATCCAAATGGTCCCCGCTTTCAGACAGGCCAGACGGTCTGATCGCACACTTCTCTCTCCAGAATAGAGGCCTTTGCTGCAAAACCCCATCTCCCTGCATCTCAACATGCAATGCCTTGGAATACCTGGGAAATCAGTCCAGCTGGAGATGCTGTGCAACTAAACGACATCAGATACTGGGTGAAAATCTCTACTCAGACCTCATGTTACAACCTCTTAATCAGAGAAACGACGACAAAGCATGCTGCAAGGGGAAGACAGAAGTCTAATGAATATAAAATGCCAATAACTCCCCTCAGCCCTCTCCCAGGCACAAGTGATCATAAGGACAACCCATCCAAATGAGCAGCATATACAACTTTACAAAGACATACGTATGGTTCTCTGGTCAGCCCTTATAAATAGCGTTTTACATATTAAAATAAATATGTCCACGTTGCCGAAGTAGCAAGAGGTTTCTTCATTATTTAAAAAAAATATGTTACAAAACAATATCATTTATATTTCTTGCCTAGTTTAAAAAAACGTAATAAAAAAGTCATTTTATAAAATAATACGAAAGTAAATTGAGTACAAGAGCGTCCATCCCTAGCACGTGTCCTGGGTTTGTTCGTTATGACTCATCATGAGATGCTGACCTCCAGGCAGTCATGTAATCACTCCGTCACTTCTAGTTGGACAAGAGAAATCCAGTGCTTGCTTTTTTCACCACTCGTATCAAGTCTATGATGTAAAATTCACGACAAGGGAAGAAGTCCTAGATCTGGGGAGGGTTCTCATTGCTGCTCTTTATGGCTTTGCTACTCCCTGTATCAGATCGCCTTGTGTAACACAGGAAGATGATGTGAATGGCCAAAACCAAGCCCTGGAGTCTGCAGGTAACGAGGTCCAGTCAAATAGTGTAAGCAAGAAATTGGGTTTTTTCTCTTTCTTGACACATCCTAAGTGTGCGCGAGTGGGGAGCACGTGGCTGTGTACAGGTTTGAGCATGCGTGGGTGTGAGCGTGCATCTGCCTGCATGAGCATAAGGAAGAAAATTACAAAGTGTGGGAGAAGGGCTTAGAGCCTCCTCCCGATCTCATGTCTGCCCTTCTGAAGACCCCTTCCTAGCTACCGCTGCTGAGCATCCCCAGAAGCTTACTGGGCTCCAGGCCCTGCTGCTGTGCCATCTTCTGAACATCAAAACCCATGTGCATGAGGAACTGGATCACATTCATCTCCTGCCCGGTGAACTGGTCCCTGATCGTGGGGCACGAGGGGTTGCAGTGAGGCCACGGACAGCTGTCAACCAGGTGAATCGGGCAGCCTTTCAGAGGCGCCTTCCCGTTTCTGTTGCTCTCGTGCAGGCTCCGGTCCCAACAGTGCAGGGCACGGGGCAAGGACGTCCCCTTCACCTGCACGTCCGTCCAGTGACTGAAAAGACAAACCGTACAGATCGCGTTAGAGGGGTTGGGGCTGCCAGAACTGGTGAATTCCCTCACCGCTTCCCTCTTGACCTTCCATAGAATCTGCAAAAGCACTCACTTGCGTGTAATGATCTCATGAGACAAACAGGCAGGAGCAAAGCTAGCACTGAAGGAAAAAAGGAAACATGGATTAGCTCTTGGAAGGACAAAGTAACTCCTGCTAAATAGACCTTCCGGACTAGGTAGAGGGTGGGAGTTTTGCTGCCCCTGGCAAGATTTTCAGAAACAGCAATGACTGTCACGAGATAAAACCTGACTGTACTGGAAAGGGTCCAGAAGAAGAGGGGGCTCCAACCTGCCCAGCACTGCACATCTGCAGCAAGAGACTCCTGGACACCTGGCCGCTAATTGTGAATCTGGAGATTACTTTGCACTTATCTAGAAATGAAAACTGCAAGATTCTTGAGGTAGATGAACTGGTAATTACCAAATTTACAACACTCATTTCTGCAGAGATCTGAGAATGCTGCTAGGACACTGGATAAGAACATTTCTTACAAATAAACGTGCCAGGTTTTCCTCAATGAAATACTTACGTCACGTCCTTCAACGTGTTTCTCAGCTCCCTACCCAGATTCTGGATGTAGAGCCACTGCCCTTCCTGAACAGGCTGGCCAGTGAGGTGCACGTTGTCTACAGTAAGCTGGGCCTCATCAAAGAGCCACTGGACAACAAAGACTGGACCTAGGAGGACAAGGAATTTGGAAAAAGGATTGGTTTAAGCTGCGGATACAGAGGAAACCCTACAATCCACTTCATATGTCTCCTCTGACACTTACATCGAAGAGTTGGGTAAATCTTATATCCAAAAAAGCAGTTCCATTCCTCTCCCTCTTTAAACTGCAGCTTACACCGTTCAGGAACAATGCCATTCCAATACCTAGAACACAAAGCATCAACGGTATGAAAGGCGTAGTGCAATCTTAAGAACAGCCTTTCCATATCCCAGTCCATTTCTGTTCTGATTATGATACCAAGTTCTTGACACCAGCGTTCTTTCTCGGCTACGTTGTCCCATCAACACATTTTATGGCATCTACAGTTCCATGTGTTCTTTTGCATGTCTGGGTTTTAAACTGTTGTCTTTTCCAATAAAATCACTGAAAAAACACTGATGTAGATGATAAATACTCTCTAAGTCTCAAAATGAAGGGAGTTAGAGAAGGAGGACATCTCTCTACCATGGAATTCTCCACACTCTGCCCTCGTACAGAAGTGTGCTTCAGAGCATCTGATTGTACCTTATGCCTCTTCTGATGGCTTCTGTTGGAGCACACGTTATGGTATCAATACAGTCGGTTCTGCGATACTGTTTATTATCCAGGAACCATCCGGAGTCTGCCAAGCCTCGAACCTGAATGCCTTGGTAACCCATCTCCTCCAGCTGCTCTGCCACTCGATCCACGTTCAGGAGCACTCCTGTCCCTCCGGCACTGCAACAGCAACAGAACTCTCTGGTCAGGGAGCTCACACAGCTGTCAGACAGCTGGCAGCAGACATGTCCCCTCACAGCAGGGACACTCTACAAACAACTTCATCTACCCCTGCTAACATGGTAGTCACCAAGTTACTCCCTTCCTTCACAAAACACTCAGAGCCAGTCTTGCGTAACAGCCCGATACCTCAGAAACCAGATCCTGTTATTCTCTCTTCTGGGAGACAGATATGCTTTAGACCATTTGCAAGGGGCTTGGCTGCCTAAAAACTGAATCTGATGTGAGTTAAATTCACACTTTGTAACTTCTGTATTACAGCCCTGTGTAACATATGCCGACTGCGCTGCTTTGCACGGCGCAGCACGACGCAGAGCACCTGCGTCAGGCAAGTCTCACTTTTTAACTGAGATGTCCCAAATCTACTCAAAAGAGGCATGGTGTCCTGTGGGGTCAGCCAACAGCAGCCACAGGGAAGAATGTGCAGGGAAGAGGGAACACGTTCCTTCCCTCTTGCAAAGCTTTTACTTTGTTGCTATTTTCACCATTTTCTCATAAGTGAATCTGGACCAAAAGCTGAGGAAAGATTATTACATCTAACCACTTAGAGGACAAGACTGAGAAGAGATAGAGGGTTCGCCGCGTTACTGTACTCCTAGAAGAAATTTTTCAGGAGCTCAGAGATCTCCTCGCTAGCAGCTCTCTACCCTGGAAATCTCCTGCTTTCACCCCAAGCAATCTCGTAGACACCCACCTGCTCCCTGCTAGCAGCAACACTTTCGCAGTGCTCAGGCCTTTTCCCACCAGCTCCTTTATCACCTCCTGAATGATCAGGGCTCCCATGAAGGCGTATTCATCTGGAAGAGACAGCTCGGTGTCAGCAAACACATCTCCTGCCCTGACTAAGACCTTTGCTTCCTCTCCACAAACGCTCAAGCGCCTCAGGAAGGGATTACAAACCTAAAACCAGGCCCACTTCCTCCACCTGTATCAAGCAGATCTCACAAGAGATACTCCCCCTGTCCCCATACAAAACTTGCTTCCCTGGGAGAAAGTGAATACCGAGTGAAGAGACAGGAACACAAGCACACCCTCCTACAACAGTGCTTAGCAACTGGCAAGCTCAGAGAAGGAAAACAAGGAGGAAGGCACCGGGACCCTTTCTCTGTGCATGAGGACATGCACACACCTTCCTTCCGCCTGGAATCCCAACACCCTGATCCCTTCTCTCCCAATTCATAGAGCCAATTCAGACGAGCAGCGCTCCACAAAACCTTACACCCCCGCAGAGCGCCCTGTCCTCGGCACAGCCAGAAGGCACCTCTGTTTGCTGAACAGGGGCTTCCCAGGGACAACCATGGGAAGCTGTGGTGAAGTGAAAAGGCCCCTTTCTGTGACAAGGTGTACCTGCGCTATCCAGGAGCCACCAGTCTCTCAGCGTAAGAGTTAGTGAAAAGAGACCCAGAGTGACACAGCGCCTGGTTTAAGTCCAGAACTCACAGACCAACTCAAAGAAAAGCGTGAACCTTCCGCCCTTCAGTACCACATAGTGGAGCATCTAAGCCAATTTTTTTTGTTCACAGCAGTGTATATCAACAGCAATTCCATTCTAGTCAAAGAAAGCTCTTCATGAACAAACAAGAGGAGAACTAAGTCCCTGGTGTTTCTCTGGGCAATACTGCACCCAGACACCGATCCTGCTTATGACGGGTAGCCCAGAGCAGCACACTGGGTAGAACAACTCATTTGCATGAAATCCAGCTTAATGTGGAAGAGGGCTCCTTTCAGGAGACTCCCTGAGTTTCAAAGGCCAGATATTCTCCTGACTGAAGCCTGACACTGCACTTGCTTTGCCAAAGTCGCGTGTAGCAAACCATGGTTCCTCAGCTACACCATTTCATTTGCTGTGTGCTGGAACCTGGAGATTCATCCAAAAGGAATTTCATTCCTCTAATCCCTGCATACTGCATCAGTGCAACATCTCTGCAAGCAGTGGCTCTGAACTATGTCAAAACAGCCCTGGCTAAAGAGATCAGGATGTTTTATCTGGAAGTAGCTTGATATTCTTTCCTGCCCTTCAGCAAGAAAAAGCCTGTTCTCCATTCACGTAATTTCACAGAAGTCTGGCCATGTCCTTTAATGTGTGATGGCTGGGGCAGCAACAGCCCATCAGCAACACTCACTTTTCTCAGACTTGGAAGAGGCACCGCTCCAAACATCACTTGAGCAATAAGGGACAAATCTGTAAGAGAGAGCTGCGTGAGTACTGATGTTCCTTTGACATGCTAGGAGGGGTGAAAATAAGGTCAAGTAACTGGAAGAAAATTAAACTCTGGGGAGGGAAAAAGGGAAGAGTTTCTTGTCCAGTTAGACACTTACCTTCTTGCACATCAAGTGACAATTATACCTGTCTTGACTTTCCTCCTGAACCCTGGTACTTTTACTGAGTTAAATCAAGAAATTATATGTCTTTTATCAGTCTAACTGAAGCACTGACCTCAGTGGACACAATGATGGGCCAAGATTTTGCTTTTACCATCTCACTGATACAGTGCATGGCCTGCCACAGGGAAACTCTCTGTGCTTTGGTTTTTCACACGAAAAGTGCGAAGGCCTTGTCATCGCCGGGTGAATGCAGACTGCAGCCACCTGGGGTTTTTGCAGCAATAAAGTTATCTTTCCACTTTCCGGCTTACAGAATGCAAATTAACATCCCTCTCTTCTGCCTTTCCCTCCTGTATAGATGCATATGGAAACTGGTGTCCTTCTCATCTCTCTCAACTAGAAGAGCCACTCCACACTCCCCTCCAACTAGCAAACATGTAACATGCTACCAGCCCACCGCTCACAACCCCATCTGCCCCGTGAGCTACTTGAGAAGGCTCCCCTAAGCTATCCCGTTTTTCTTCACTAGGCCACTCCCGACTCCAAGCAGACCGGACTTAAGTTTCTCCAGACCTTGCTGGTGCTACCTGTTAGAGCTGAACTAAAGCAAACAAGGAAACATACAATTACTTCCTCTCGCAAGGGTTAGTCTTAATGTATTTGTAGCATTCTTGCTAGCCTAAAAGGCAGGAGATGTTGTTAAGTATAAGCCTATTTCCCTTTGTTGCCCCTCCTTACACCATGTTTGCATTCCACCAGTGGGGATTTTCTTCTGGCTGTGATGACAGGATCCCAGTTCCTGCAGATGGGCACAAAGAAACAAGATGACAGTCTATGACTTCAGAGAAACCATGTGAGCCTCATGCAGCATCTCTGACCACACAGAAAACAAACATCCATGATGAAAAACATTGGTTGGGGAAGTGGAAGGAACATTTCCAAATTTGCCCTTAGGCAGATGTGACTTTCAGAGTTTGATTCACGCTAGAGATGAAGTCTGTCTGGCAGCCTCTTGTAATACAGAGGAGAACCTATGACACGTATGTAAAATTAAGCACTTCCCCAGAAAACCAAATCCTGGCTGATGAACTCCAATACATGCAGCTATAAGATCTGTGTGAAGGACAGAGGTTTAGGTATTGAGAAGGCTGGAGCATAAGCCATGACAAGGAAGAGAGAAGCTCAACACTTCTGTGCTGACCCAGGCGCCCGGTGGTGCAGAGTGTGGGTGCCTGGGGTGCGACAAATCCTTTATGTGCACACCAGCTGTATGCTTCCACAAAGAGAGACGCTGAATATCATCGCGCAATCGTGCATGGAGACAATTTACAGCGCACATCCCCACGTGAAAGTCCCGAGAGTTAATCTGAGGATGTCGGGCAGGCACCCAGCAGCACGATGTGCACGGGGGACACTGGGCATGCACGGGGACATTGGTCCTGACAAGCGGACAGAGGGTCTCGAGGGCAGTTTTTCTAACAGGGTTAAAAGAAACACGAAGTCTCTCTCAAAACGAAAAACCTTCCCCCCGCCCCGCGGATCGCGGCGGGT